AAGAATCGTCAGGTCTTAATCGGAATTATATTGATAAAAAGATATTAAATCTAAAAACATGTAAATGTTATATTACGGGAAAAAGAAAATGGAGTATGGCTATTAATGAGATAAACCAAAATCAAATATTTTAACATAGAAAAAATATCGATCATTTGTCCATAAATCATTTGATGAAACAAAATCCAATTCTTCAAATAGACTTTGTTCAAACATTCATCATCCCCCCTAAAAGGAAGAAAAAGAATAACCCCGTACTAAAGTTTTCTTCAAAAATGTTCAAAAATTTCTTCCGTCGGAATTAAATGTCAGTTGGTCATATTTACTCAAATTATCGTTCCGTTGGTAAATATTTTTGAACGTTTGGTTTTTATTAGTTTTTATGGGCTTCCTCTCTTTGAATTTACATTGGAGTTCGGTATTTTAGTTATTACATTATCTATAAGCAATTAAGGCTAAAGTTTGAAACAATGGATATTGTCAACAGAAACTAAGATTTACACTTGAAATTGATTAATCTATCCATTTACCAAAAATGTTTATATACCCTATATATTACATGTATAAGACTTCAAAGAAGAAGTATATATTTATACAGAGATAAAGATGCCCAGTATTCATACAAGAAATAATCGAAATACTGTCATTTTACTTAATACTTGTATAAAATTTCGACTGACAGACAGACAAAGCTCATTGTCTCATTCGTCTTATCTTTTTCGGGGAGTTTAAGTTAGACTAGTTGAAATTGTAAACCTGGATGATTCCCTTTTTGTCTCATACAACATGTAGAAGTAGTTGTATATATAAATCGAGTGGGATACCAACTATCTTTCGGGATATCAATCTACGACATTCAACGAATACGATATCGATTTAAAATTCAAGCGTTTCAATAAAATGTCTTCTGTCTTCGGTGTTGTGTTATTTGGACTATGTAAATTTGAAGTTTAAGTACGTTTCGTAACTATGACGGAAAACATATAAACCAATAGAAAAAAAAAGGATATGGGCTAGTCATCCATGACACAAGATCAGTACATGCATCGCAAAAACACACAAAAAGCAAAGACAAAGTTCGTTTTGTCTAAATACTCAACAATATATTGACACCCTAAGTAGAATCTAAATTGTTATAGTCGTTTCAGAAGGCCTACTTTGTCTGGCGTAAGAAAAGTATTAATACTGCTAGAAATAAACTCATCAGGCTTAAAATTAAGTACTTCTACAAAAGACTCATCAATGAAGCTCGAAATGTAAGTAAACACGCGACTTTAAAGGGATCCAGTTTAGTTTAATTTTAGAATTTGAAAATTTAAAAATGTACACACAGATTTTAAAAAAGACATACCGAAGGTAAAGATTTTAAAAACACCCAAAGAGAATAAACAATACACATTGAGAATTAAGAATTATACACTTATTTTAAAATTGAAAACAAACATTGGAAATAGAAAATTCAAACAGAGAATCGTGCGGGTTTTTTTTAGCACACAGTCCCAATTAGAGTAATTAGGGTGCGTTTAGATATGTATCTGAGGTCAATTGTTACCCAAAGGCATTTTGTAATTCTCAGCGTGTGATTTTAAGTTTTCTTTAATGTCTGTGTGTTTTAATATATGTGAATTTTTTTTTAGAAAACTGCCTTATACATAGTTTTGACGAGAGCGGCTTGCTTTAACCTTTTTGCACATTGATACATAATGTAATTTAGGTATGCATCACAAGGAATGATAATCTATTACCATTTATATAAGGAGCAAAGGAGACATGAACAGGTTTTGAATTTTCTAAAAATGTTCTTCATGATCATGTTGATAAGAGACGTAGTTGTTTGTGTTATATTACATTTATGGGTTGTTCATTCCAAAATTTTAAACGAGGTATTCAAGATTATGAAAAATAGTAAAACACTATTCCATTGGTCTTTGGTAATTATGGAAATGCTGTCTCCTGTACATCAACCCTATGGTCTATCATTTCCACATAATGCACTTAACAGACATCACAACTTATTTACATACATACAATGAAATGTGAATTACCAAGACTTCATGAAAAGTCATGAAAAGTCCGTATGTGATAACTCTTTTTATATTGGTCTGATAACAAACCTTGATTTCAATTTTATCTTATTCCGGGGAAATAGATACATCAACAAATTACAATATTACAGATTTTGTAACAAATAAAACTTTCTATTCATTATTAGAAAATAAAGTTAACCAAAATGATGCATTAAATACTTACGTTATATTGATAGAGCGTCCTTATCTGTTTGTCTTCAATTTGATTATTATCAGGTTAAAATGCAAAAGCACAGGAAAACATAATTCCAATTTCACCGACCTTTTTGAATTCTGTTGCGGAAACTCTATTTCCTTGTGAAAAAGTTTAATATTTACACGTAATCGTTATTGCCATGACCATTTTTGTAAATAATTAGTCTTTATTGTTACTAAAAAGGGGGGACTATTAGATGTACTTTGACAACTGTTCTTGTAGATAGTTATGACAATGTACATCGTTTTAATTCGTCATCAGTAATTGTAAATGTAGCTCTAAATAAAAAAAAAGTAAAATGCTCTATAGCAGATATTTTCAACAAAACAAATCCGAATTAGGGCACGTGTTAAAACATATTCATTTTTAAAGAGAAATAGGATTTTCTTCATACCTATTGTAAACTACTGCAAATATTGTTAAGATAAAGACGTCTGATCCGTAACTTTGCCGATTGCTTCCTTTTCCCGATTGTGACATTTTTGACAGAGCGCGAATTCTCAGGAGACGTCAATCCTGTCAATGCACTCGGTCTCACTCCTTTTTGACTTCATGCGATTCCATAAAAGTTTGCTGGTTACGTTGATTTGTCTTTTTTTTAATCTATTTATTTTGAACATCGGTTAACTAATGTCGCCTTAATTTACTTGTTGTTTCTAATATAAATACAACATTCAGAAAAAAAATGTACCGTATGTAACTATAAATGTAAATCAAGAGGCAATAACAAGATAATGATGTGATATAAAAAGTAAGACCTGCTTTCTTGCAATACATTCATAACAAGCTCAATGAAAACAACAGAGATTGGACCAGAATAGCCAACTATATTTCAAGTACGTACGGTGTCAATGCGGTAAATTTCAGTTGGTGATTTTTTTCTGTCAACAATAATCTTCATCCTTAGTTCTTTCATGGTTCAAGAACATTTTATATTCCATCATAGTAGAAATTTTTAGAAATGCAGTTACTTTTTTCTTACTGTCTTACTGATAAGGTGTTTAACATGATATTTAACACAAGTATAATATCAAGTGAATAGCTTAGTTGTAATATAAAACCAATATAAAAAAACAAATAAGAAAATAAGATGAATATAGAGTCAAAAATTATGGACCCGTACTATTCTCAATTGTATGAGTAAACAATTCATAGAACCTTTGAATGAATGCACTAATTAAAAAAATGGTCAGATAGTTTGGTGTTTTAATAGAAGCTAATGTTGTTGAGATCTGGATACAGTACAATAGACAATTTTTCTCTTTTGTGAGCTTTTTTGATTTTGAAAGACCTTTTGCTACAATTTGAAGTGATGGATGCTGGGTATCAGTTGTTTACGCAACATATAAACGAGAAATGTTTATCATCATTATCATCATTATTATCAATTTGTATAAAAACATAAAATCTAATTAATTGTGTGTAATAATAATATTTTAGACTATTCTGTATGTAACAAGGTGTCCAGGTGAAGCTTATCACATGTACTTTTTACCTTTGACATTAACGATCTAAAACACTTTTTAGAATACAAAAGCTACGTGGGCTCGGGATTATTTGTGAAAAAAATCGACTCGAAGCTTCACAATTACTTACAATTGATTTGTATCCTTTTTATACATACGACACATTGCTTTTAGCAGACATTGCTGACGATTTACAGACACAACTGGTTTCTTTCAGTGAATACTGAATGTTTTGAAACTAACAGTTAATACTTTGAAAACCAGTGATTTTTTCTAGATGCAGAATGCCGTCAAATTTTCATTTTGATGAAGATGACACTGATGTTGAAATTGTTACAGAATTCAGCTTTCAACTATTTGAGCATTTTATTGTCTTGAGCTGGAAATTCTAAGGTTGCATTGAAATCTGACTGCATACGATATCTTTCTATTTAGCGTCATTTAGGTCTTTTCGATAATTTTATTTCAATACCTCTCTATGGTGTGAAATGTATTTTGTAACTTCTTACAAAACGATAAAATTCCACGCGAAGCTATATAGCCTATGGGGAATTGTTGGACAAAAGATAAAGAGACTAAGATAACTTAAATCGCATATATACTTTTAAAACTTTATTTACTGTTATAATGTATGAACATCCTTTGTAAGTAAGATTATAACTATATTGCAAGAATGCGGTTTTACAAATATTTGGAATACTCAAAGTTTTGTAAACGATATCTGATAAAAGAATGCTTTAAAACTACAATTACAAAATCATTTCACAGTACATGAATACACAATTGCATGAGTCTTCAAAAGCACTTTAAGCTTTTTAAAGATGGATTAGAAGTTGGAAAACAAAAATGTTTACAGATCTTGAAAATGTAGTTTTTGTACGTTTGATAACATAGGACGAATTTCAATATCTGCTATAATGACCGCTTTTGACGTCAATAGGACTTAATATTTGATTATAAATGTTTGGCACGTGTAAATATACCAAAGTTAAAAAAAACTGATGATCCACTTAAACAAAAATGAAGAAATGAAAAAAAATTATGTTAATTTATAAAGTGTGTAAACAAACACAAGGGTTCTCTTCGCTAAAATGTAGCTAAAATCGAAAACACTGTATTGTATATAAATGATTTTAAATACATGCAATGCACAATTTATTACATATTTTGGACCTTCTCTGTACATCCTATGGATCTCTAATGATTATGGGAATAAAGATACAGAGATATAGTATAAAAATCCTTTTTTTCTTCCACTTAAACAAATATTTACCTTTAGACCAAATACTTTTATTTTCCTCATTTTTAATATTTCTTAAAGTTGATCACAGATGAAAACCTAAAATCTAGTATCTATATAAATGCATGTTTCAAAGCAATTAATTGTGCACTTCCAATTTCGTGAAGATGTATATATGTTTTTTCGTGCATTTGAACTTTTCATGTAGAAATGAAGATTCATCAAGTAAAAGTCTACCAGCAGTGTGAGGCACACAAAAGTGTGTACCGAACATTAAGTTTCATTGTTAACATTTTATCATTAACAGTTGTTTTGATTCATAAAATATAACAAAAACAATGTGTCATTTTTATGCACAATCATTCTTACAATTACAATATAATGGTTCTTTTTCTAACACGTTTAAAAATGCATCCTGATACACGAAATACAAGTGCAGAAAACCCACAGACGATTGCATATGTTGTTATGATTGACATGGAACTAGTGCCTGAAATTATCAAATAAATAATATTAAGATAAGATAGAAACATTCTATAAGCTATATCATACCTTAATAAATATCCAATTAATGTAATGCTAGTCAATTCAAAAATCATTATCTGCAATATCATTTTCATTTTGTACTATGTCACACAATAATCATTAGTCAATTACCTACATTCAGTCAATATGCTGTTGATATCCATGGAAAAGGTTCGACGTAAAATATTGATAATTCAAAAATAAAGAGCAGTCATGCATCTGCCGCAGGGAGGATGTAACTGGAGGAAGATTAATAGAATTTTAGGTAAGGCTTGTAAACGGACTTTGTCGATAGTAATATGTGCATTGAGAACATATAATTGGTAAGTAAGTTACAAATGAGTAAATTGTTTATGAAACATGTAGATAAATATTGATTGGTAAAAATTGATAAAAACAGTGGTAGTGTGTCATTCGTTTACATTGGTACGTAAGAAAAAACAATTGTCAAACATTACTTATCACAGCCTAAAACTTTATGAAAGAGGGGCGAAAGTAACCAAGGGAACATTCAAACTCATATCGAAAACAAACTAACAACCCATGGCAAAAAACGAAAAAAACCTCGTCATCTGTAAAAGAGATATTCGATAACGGGCAACCAACGCATGATGGCGTCCGTAAAATATTCGAAGGGATGAGTTCAACTTCACCAACTTGAACTATTGGTTTAATAGCTTGCTTTTAAGCTGCAACCCTCTCTATCAAGGAAATCGTAATATGATATGAAAGCTCTGGAATATCGTATCAACTGGGAGATATATACTCCGTATGCAGGCGCTACTGGAATGTTGCTACATAGAAATGAAAATGTCACAATAGGAAAGCTGAACTAATCTCTTTTGTCGTAAAGTTTTGTTCTCAACTACTCCTTCATTGTCATTTTCTAGATGTAAGTCAAGATATGAGGCATACTTAATAATTGTATCTGTTGAATCCTTTATTTAAAGTTCGATGAGATCGACGAGTTCAACAAAGTAACTAAACTTAGTCAGAGGACATCAACTATATAACATGACGTTAAATGATAAGACTAGTTTCTTTTTATCCTTCCTAAAAGCTCTTGTATGAGGTCAGCTAATGTTATTTAATTAACCACTTAACTGTTTATAACAATATATGTATTCTATCAAATGGTTTAAGTTATTTTTTCCCTAAAAAAAAAAAAAAAAAAAAAAAAATTCAAACCGCTACGTAAGTATTTTTAAATCGAACAAATGTCTTACCATTTGGTTGTAGTTCGTGTTGTTTTATATTATGTTTTTATCAAAACAATGTGTACACTATATGTTAGAGTAAGAAAAAAAGATTAAGATAAAAATAGATTAAAATGAATAAAATGTCAAGAGTTAGCAAACAATAAAGAAATATCTGTTAGCCATTTAGATTATAAAAAAAACAACAGTAATTTCCTTTTGCAATTTGTATTTTCTTTTTATTATGAAGAGTCTGATTATCATGTTTATTAGACACTTATGCACAGTTAATTTATCAAACTATCATTTTAAAATTAAGTTTGCTACTCAATATACAATACATATCTTCTTATCATGTGTCTAGAAGATCACCTGAGTTAACCAATTGACCAATTAACGTTAGCAATGGCTAAAATATTTCATGTTGCAAGGCAAGATATAAACAGTTAACTATTTATGTAAAAACATTTTTTTGAGGTTATTGTATTTCAATCTTATGGTTATCACCATACATATTTTCAAAAGTTTTGTAATATCTTTTCGGTTTTATGCATTAATAAAATAAAATATTACAGATTAGCAATAAAGATTTGGGGTATAAGTATGTATTGCATTAAACAACGTTTGCAATATCATGAATTAATATAACAATTTGTACGTACTGGGGATTTTTTCTGCCCAGCTTGTACTGGAGATTCTTTCCGTCCAGCCTGTCAAATTATTAGATGAGGTAGTTCCAAACATCTCTAAAAGGAAAACAAAAGTAGCAACACTCATCAATGATTAAGATTTACATTATGTGGATGAGTGCTTTGACAACAACCATATTTTACCTTTTCAAATTAAAGCGACAGTAGTTTACCAATGTTCAAATCTCGTAATCGATATAAAAGAGACAAACAGAAACTGATGGAATTGGAAGAATACAAAAACGAGCGAGACCGGGTGCGTCAACCGGGCGAGCTTCTGCTGCTATGCAGGCATCACCCGCTATGAGAGTTCAAAATCAGTTAAAGGTCCACATCGGGAACAGGACACCATCGGTAATATTACAGATCAGACGACTATACTGGCATTTTAAACATCTAAGACTGCGCGAATATGTCACTTGTGATTTTAGACACCGACATATCATATAGGTCAACCAATTCGTGATGGTGACCGTAATACTTAGATAGTGTCGATTTCTGTCGTTCTTCCTCATAACTTTGAAGGAGCAGTTTTAGTGCGAGGAGCAAACCCTTGTTCGGGAAGTCCGTAAATTGTGAACATGCATGAGCGTAACGTATTAACTGAGATATTTAAACAAGCCCATGTTTATCATTTGTGCCAACGCACGACCAGTACTTTTTAGTATACCTGACCATCCCTTCGGTTATATCCTAAAATGTATGTTCAGTGGGATAAATGAGATGTAAGCAAAGACATCAAGGTAAAATTTAAACAAGGGCTGCAATTTCTATCCTGAAACATTCTATGATCATAAAATAACTAATCAATATTGATTGAAGGGACATTTCAGCAATTCATGGACCAACATATCTGTAATACACCTGACGAGTTGATCTTAATATCGTTTAACAATGTACCGCGCTGATAGCCTCTGTCGTGAAAATTTCTGGACATGAAGCACAGGCTCTGGAGTATCGTTCCAACACATCATAGCAGTAGATGTATGCATAACATGAGATGTGTATCCTGTCGACGCACCCGGTCTCATTCCTTTAAGAGTTAATTTCCCAAGTTGTTTTTTTACTTTGATTTGTACCTTTTATATGGATTGATGAGATTTGAACATTGGTAAACTACTGTTGACTGTAACTCATCAACAAAGTTAACTACGAGATATTCATTCCATATGTGTATATATGCTGACAACGACCTTGCATACGAATCCAAATTATCAATGATAACTTAGATGAAATGAAATTAAATTGGAAAATGTTTTTACAAATTAGCGTACTGCTATCCTTTATTCTTTTGCCTATGAAGCTATCTTGTTATCTTATTTTTTTTTTTTATTAAAGGTTGCATTATCTTAACAACCCTTATCAAACAAATATTGTAGAAAACATCATAAGACTTATAGATCAGCATCAGATTTACAAAACCCACAGGTAAAGAACAAAATGATTTACAGGAAACAGTTTAACTTCAACTGTTTCGGTTTCTTATAATCCTTGGCTTTCAAATAGTCGGCTTTGAGCGTTCCCGATGAAGGTAAATCCAGAAATTGCTTCGGACGCATGACATTTATAAAGTGTTGTTTTCATTTTTTACAGGACCGGGTCGGTACTGCTGCCGGTGGACTATCAGTCCCCGATGGTATCATTAGCTCAGTAGTCAGTACCTCGATAGACCCATTATTCAAAACAAACCTCTCTAAAATTGTCCGTTTAGATATTAAGAAATGATAAAGAAATTTTCAACTAGCTCAGGTAAAGTTGACCTAAGATGGATTTGGCAATATTTGGCAGGTCCTTTTTGGTCACAAAGCTCTTTAACTGTTTCGGTTCTTATCGTTTACAAATATTCGGCTTTAAGAATAAAAAAAAAAAGCGCTTCAGACGGAGGAAATTAATAAAGTGTCGTCCAGACAAACGCTGAAAAATTTAAAAACTTTTTTTTTAAAGATGCGATAATCATCGAGACCAACGGCCTCAACGGATAACAAAAGTCAACAATTATTTTATCATATGACTTTGATTCGTTCCACTTTTCTAGTATTTGCTCAATATATTTAACACAAAAATAGAAAAACCAATATGAAAACGTCATACGCATACGTTATATATTTTAGAACACGTTATCTGTTCCAAATCTTATATTAACCTCGTTGTTTTCCCAAAGTGATTATCAAGTTTAACAAAGGCATATTTTGTATGATTTAAGCTAATGAGAAAACAGAAATTTAATAATCATATAATACACTTGTATATACCCGCTACGAAACTGAGAAGTTTATTTACAATAATTTTCGTTAGAAAGTGTTAAGATCCGCCACACCCTAACACACTTCACCTATGGCAGATTAAGTTCGAATTTCGAATCCACGAGGTAAGGACTTCTATTGATCGCAGTTGTAACGGTTTTAAGATAAATAAAACAAAAACAATTGTCACATGCAGATTGAGTCCCGAGTCTTTATCCCTAAAACGTATGACGGTATAAGACACTTTTAAAGTTCTCAATCAACAAATTGAAATCCTTGGTATGCTTCTCGTGTAAATGTTGGAATGTCAATGTATATAAGCGGTTTCTGCTTCACGAGATTTGTCAACACTGAACACAGCCATTTTTAAACCTCCGAATGATAAATTGTACAAGTGCTGTCATTGGTCAGAATGATGTAGTCGGAGTTGGTGTGACTTATATATGTCGCAAGATAGTATAACGCTGTATACGCAAACTATTTAAATCTGCCAAGGGTGATGAGGAGGATTCGGATCGTTATCCTTGGCTAGCGAAGATTATTTACACTATAATAGTAGTACATTGTGTGTTAATATATGAATTACTTTGCGACATTTAGAAAAGCAAGGACATTTTTCTTGTGTCTTAACATCACATAAATCATAAATTAAAGAACAATGTACTAGTAGTATATTGTAAATAAATTTCATAATATATGTTTATCTGTCTTGATTGATTCATTATTATGAGTGGAAAAAAAAAAAAAACAATCTTTTAAAAATGTTTTGGAATGGATTCTTTTCAATACTGAACATTTCGATATCCTTTATGAATAGTAATTCTATCTTTAAAAAATGTATACAGTAATTTATAAATGTTATGCTTATGAAGCGCTTTTCTTGATTTACCTTCATTAAGAACGCTCAAAGCCGAATGCTTGAATGTTGATGGATTGCTGATTAACGTCCAGTGCCAAATTACATCCATACTCAGGACGAGAATATGTTAATGTAATATGAATATTTACCCCCCTTTGTACTAGACCGACACGCCTAGCCAGATTTTTAACAGGCTACTTTACAAGATAACAATCCACATGATGACATGTCACTCTACCCGGAAATATTATTCTGACTCCAAACCGATCAGTCTTTGCACTTCCTTCTTAAAGCCGCATGCCTAACGGAGAAGAAGCAATTACCAATTTTAAAGTCTTTGGTTTGACCCGGACGGGGTTCGAACCCACGACCTCCCACACTCGAGGCAAACATGCTGCCACGAGACCACCGAGGCCAAATATTTGCAAGCTTAGGATGTATAAGAACCGAAACAGTTTAAGAGCTATTTGACCAAAAAAGATCTAAAAAAAATAAACAAATCCATCTCAAGTCATTTTGCCTGAGGGTGTTGAAACCTTAGTTTCGCAAAAATTTCTGATTTTATAACTGATTTAACATTTAGCAGTACTAACCATTTGTATGAACGTTGAAAGTACAATTAACTTCACCATACATGTTTTTCACAAGTATTACCAGAACAAAAGAGGTGTGTAAGTCTTTTCCTGAAATTGTCATATTAATAGGATGCCCAGAAACAAGAAAGTGTATGGTGCCATGTCAACGAACAGATTGTACCGTGAACAGTTATTAAAGGCATCCAAACTTTTGTCAAGACATTCAACTTTGAGATATTCGGTAGGGTTGTAGACTTTAAACGATAACTTGAGTTCTTCATTTCCTGACAATTTTATAGGAATATCCCCATTCATACACACTGGTAGATCTATAAAAAAAACAAAAGTATTATCAAATAATGTGAAATAATACATTATTTCTTAAAGATTTTTAATGATGATGTCATCATTGAAAAAATATTTGTTATATTTCTTAGAAGTAGTCTTTTTGTGACTGTGAAACCAACGAAATTTAAGACAAAGTTGAAATAAGTTTAAGAAAAAGTAAAATAGCAAAAATCCCGAACTCCAAGGAAATTTCAAAACGGAAAGTCCCTTATCAAATGGTAAAATCAAAAGATCAAACGAATGGAAAATAACTGTCATATTCCTGACTTGGTACATGCATTTCCTTATGTGGTAAATGGTGGATAAAACCAGTTTTATAGCTAGCAAAACCTCTCACTTGTATGAAAACACACATAACTTTGGTTTGAAAACATTGTTTTAAAAAAGAAGATATGATAAGGCTACTTTTAAGGCCCCCTGAATTCGAAAATAAAAAGATATTATAAATCTGTCAAAAAGCATGCCTCAGATGTTCATAAGACGTTGGACTGTCTCTCATTAGTAGTTATTTTTAAAACCATTGCTGTGAACTTAGCCTTTTCATTTATAGTAGTTTTTGTTTCTGGAATTAACGTTTGACAATGGAAAGGTATGTACTATGACTTTTAGTAAGAGGAGCTGTGCCCGATCAATTATATTCATAGTATATACCTTCCCATTGACTATCCATTTTTTTTTTACAGTGCAACTGTTAATTTATCAAAATAAAGATAGATGTGTCGCATAGAAAGTCTGGCGGATAGACGTTGAAAACCAACCATCAATAAATCAATTTACTAATTTATCAGAATATAGATTTAGTTACACTTTTCCTTCAAACATTATTACTATGGTTCAATTCATACTGAAAAAGGATCAGTTATCTAACATGTCTAAAGCACGTTTACAATAATGATTGCCATCATCATCATGTTAAGTGACATTACATTTGTTTCATTATCTTGTGTATATCTACGAATAACTCCGCGTCCAATCAAATTGCTTGAACTTCGTTTCACAAAGATACTGGTTTCTGTACAACGTTGTAGGTATGTTATAATGAATGCTTCTTTTATTAAATAGTCCCTGAAATAGACTCTCCAAATCATATTCAACTGTTTCATTTCTGTTCACAATTGGAATTAATTTAAAAACTCACCTTTAAACTTTTCAATTTTTATTCGACGTCACACGGAATCGAACTCCTTACTTGACGTTACGATTATGAATTGCCTTTTAACGGATTCGATTTTTATATGAGGAAAATAATGGTTTATATTTCAAGATGAATTCTAATTAATATTGTCAGCCAACATTTTTGTAAACCTGAACTAATATTAAAATTTGATACACACCGGAACAATGGACGCATATTGCTAGCTGCTTTTAGATATAAAAACTACGTTCGCATAATATTAATTGGTAGCCGCGAGGTTAAGATTAGATGTTGAGTAACGTTGAGAGTAAGGATTTGTAGCTTTAAATTTGATTCCTTGTCTTCCCGTTTCTGTTTCATTCGTTGTAATTTCTGGTTTTCCTTTATCTTGTGTGGTATTGCTGAAACTTTTAGCATGATTACAGATTTATTTCAGTTTTTGTACTTTTAAATGGACTAGTTCACGTATTTCAAAAGAAACTGATAACTTTCAATCTGTCAATCATTTTTGTTTTTTAAAGTGTTATTTCATCTGTTTTGATATATACCTAAATGCATATTCGCAAATTAGATTTAGTGTAAAGTGGAAAAGCTCGAATTATTTGTTGCTCCATACAAATTCAAAAACATGAAATTGAGAACGGAAACGGGGAGTGTGTCAAAGACACAACATCTCGACCAAAGAGTAAAAATCAACCCAAGAATACCATGGGGGCATCAACGCAGCGAGAAAATCCCTCACCCAGAGGCGGACTTCAGCTAGCCCCTATACAATAATGTATACTAGTTGTTCGAAATGGACGCCACACTAAACTCGGAAACATATAAATGAACCAAATTTAAAAAACACAAGACTAAGAAAGTCTAGAGGTTCCTGACTGGGGACAGGCGCATAAATACGGCTGGGTTGAACATGTTTTATGAGATCTCAATCCTCCCCCTATACCTCTAGCCAATGTGGCATAAACAAACACACATCGATACATCTATTTTTACTGAAAAATAAGTTCGAATATTCCTTATTTTGTAAATTACAGATACATTTCAGATTCGTTATCTTAACACAGTATACCGAAAGTACGTGCGATTTTGTCACGATTGAAATGCACTACCTGTATATTTATAATCAATGTTCGGTTCTTGTTCATCTTTCAAGATGATAAAGTGGTTATTTGACAACGTTTTATATACAGACTACTATTTAAATAAAATTATTTCTATAAAATGAAGAAAATGAGATATCAGAAATCAAGGTCATGCCTACCAAATTTTCTTGATAAACTTTCCTACATAATCACTTATAGGAGAATATACAAGGTGCCATTTTCAATAAAATATTATCAATGAAAATGCGTGAACAATTCATTAATTTCAATGAAGTTTACTATATATAGACAGCTTTCTTTCGTTATGGTTTTGAATTATTTCATGCAAACGTGCAAAATTAAATATGACAGGATGTGGATCATGTTTATAACTGAATAACAATACAGATTTAGTAATATTTTGATTTATTTAGACAATATTGAAAGATATAACTACAGTGTAAAATGAATAATCATAAATTTGTTTTATTAACGAACTTAGTAAATTATTGCTTAAATGCCCATGTGTAACTCAAATCGAAACAGTACCTAGTACGGCCAACAGGGCATTATTACAGGGCCATTATGGATTAAACCAGTCATTACGAAAATTCTGGGAAATGATGTTATCTTCTTTGGCACCTTAACTAGGTGACGTCATAGGTAAGCTTCCTGTGTCAAGCGAAAACACCGGTCGTTTTTGGGCTTCCAGTCCGCCTCAGAATCTAATAAAATTAAATTAAAAGAAGATTTCTAGGTGCAAAATGTGAGTTATTTTTACTTATTATTGGAGCAATTACATTTCAATACATTCCGGAATTCAAAATGTCGGCTTCCCTTAGTTACAAACAGGTACTTCCGACACTTGACCTGAAAAGTTGCGACACTTGAACTTTTGATGTCATACAACAATCACTTTTTCTTTGTGGCGTCAGACAATTTCTATTTTGATATCAAAATTTTACGGAAACCTTTGTGATGTCCAGTAATGGCGAACAAATAGCGATAAGGTGTATCTGAACCATTGATACAAAACAATTGCATTAGAAATTAATACTATATTGTGTTATATCAACATGATAATAATATACATGAAGTTAGCAGATTTGTCTTGTTTCGAATTCTTATGACAAAATAATGATTTTAACAGAAATTGCATCCCTGCAGGTTTGAACACTTTGAAACGTTTCAAAAATATTGCTAAGATTGATTTGGTGCTGTATTCATATAGACACTTATATTTCATGCAATAACTCTAAATTAATTTATGACACAAAACACAAACATTTGATACATAAGGCACTTTTCATACCAATTAAACAACAAATTACACAATATTAAAATTAAAAATATATCCTCTGTTTTGTTGATTAATTAATGTATTAAGAAATTGGTGTTTTCATAATGGCCTTGTTATATGTCCTCGGTCAGTAATAATGGCCACGGAGACTGTAATGTCCCTTGGCGTTGCCTCGTGCCATTACAGACATCCTCGACCATTATAACAGACCTTGTACATATAACAGGGCCATTATGAAAACACCCATTAATTAATACTATAGTAATGGAGAATTTCTGGATTACTTTTTTGCAACATTTGACGAGTTAGTGTCTTATTGGCCGAAATGTTATCCTGATTACGTATAAGATATTTCTTCACTGAATATTAATCAAATAGTCAATAAACAATCAAATTACTTACGTGTTACACTAGTCGTGATTGGATAAACTTTGGAAATACCAGAGGGAACATGGAAATTGGCGGCGTCTTGTAATAAACACAACCTTCCTAAAGAATAGTCGCAAAATCGACATGAAAGCTTCATAACCACAAATGAACGTCAGTTATGTGAAGTATACTATTATTTTTTTAATTCAAAAATAGATTTTATGCCAACGTCTTCATTTCTGCGCCATACTCCAACAAGAACCATTGGAAGAAGAGGCATAGCTTAATTTTATATGGTAACTAGTTACATGTATTCCAGTAACAGTGATAAACAACGAAAAACTAATGATAATGTTGTCGGGCAGCATTAGTTTAAATTAAAACAGGATACATATTGTCATTGATCACGGAAGTCTCTAAACACCCTCGAATTTAGTCATTTGCATATTTTTTTTTAAATCGATTACATATTTGATTGTTATATTTCTGCATTAAAAACTCATGAACTGGATTTGATCGTATGCCTTTTTAATGTTTTTTCTAGTACAAAAAGGTATTTAAAACTAATCTTTAGTTCTTTTGTAATTCAATCTTGCGAAGACAAGGGCCTATAAAGGCCGTTTTTGACCCCACCCAATAATTTGTCATTTTGTAACTATACCAAACCCCTTCTGAAAAATGGTGGTATTGTGGGTCTATCTCGTATATTCTGTTGCCCAACAACCTGTATAATGGTGGCAATAAACTCAATAATTATGCTAAATATATAGCTTTAATTTATTTATATTTAAAATCCAACCTGTTTAACATGCAGTAAATCAAACATTTATACATTGTTTAAATGAAACATAATGTAATGAATGCACTTTTGGGGGCAATATCATTGTAATTTCTCCATAGCTTCAAAACTTTGCACATAGCAACGGCAATTTGTTTTCTATTCTAAAAAATTTAACTTTAATATGTTTCATTCAAAAGATAATTTATAATTTAAGATGCACATTGTAAAAAGTACCAAACTCCAAGGAAAATGTCAATGATAAAGAACAATTCTAAATATCTACAACAAGCAAAACGACAGACAAACAACTCTAATTCTTCAAGAGAATGTGGTAATGAAATGCATTTGTGAAGCCCCTCTGTAGAGTAAAAAAATATGCCACTGGTCTTATGGTGAAATTTGTTGTTATAACATTTGTTTCATGAATTAATACATGTACACCTTATATATTCTTTTAATTTTAAACCATTGTCGTGAAGTCAACCTATTCATTTTCCGTGTTTCTTGTTCTAGAATCAACGCTTCTTAAATCTGTCGCTGAAATGGACTCACCAAATTATATTCGATTGTTTCCTTTGTGTACCTAATTTCATTAAGTTTGAATTGGCTAATTTACTGGTACATCTGTGTATATGTAAGAGAATGATAATCCCTTTCTTCATGATTAAGTACGAGCGTTAGCAAGTACTTATCATGAAGTAAGGGATTATCATTCTCTTACAAACTTAGAATATTGTAAAGTGCGCAAGGCTTAAATGATCTCTTGATTGGTTTTATTCATGAATTAGTTTCTTTGTCAGTGCAATGTTTATAATTGATGCATGACTTCCTTTTTCGGCATGTCATTTATGGATTAGTTTTAGTGATGTAAGGACTTTCTTATCATTTGGGAAATATTTTTAACAAAAATGCGTTATAGATATAAGTTGACACAACAGTACAAAGAAAATGTTGGAATTGTATATATTTACTGATTGTGAGTATGAATGTAAATCATGTAATATTTTACTGAGGAATTATCCTTTTTTTTATTATTTACAGTTTAAATTAAATCAATTAATACATTTGAGTTACAATTAAATTTTATTTCACAGCCAATATTTTGGTCCGGCTTTTTACATCAAATACTTTTTCATTATGTCAGGGAAATGTTCAAATAAAATGCCTTTAAAAGTTTTTAATTTGTTCAAAACTAAAATTCCTTTTTTTTTAAATTTTATCGGACTATTGGAAATAACTAATCTTCCCGACAGCTGATCCAGTAATCAAAGTTTTGGAAAGCTAAAGATTTAGGTTATTATTTATTTAAACTTTTTTTTTCTTTTTTTGTATTGCTTTGATATTGTTTAATTTCTTAGTAATTTGAGGTTATTAATATTATCATTATTACATTCACGGTACCAATTTTGCTGCACCAGTAAACTTCAACTTATTTTAAGTTTGTTGTTTGTTTCACAATTCAAATTTTAGTCAGTTTCAATCACTGTGTGATAAATCCTTTCAATCTGATCATGCTGATAAATGTGCTTCGGGGAAGTTGTAACTCTTTTATAGAAACTCTTTGTTTTGAACTGTAAATGAACCAAAATAATAGGATAATCCCTTACTAAGAACATGATTTACATTTATTTTTCACAATTAAGAGGCATCAAATCATACAATTTCGTTGGTCGAGAGCACTTTCCTATATTCTAATCACTAATGTATATCATTTAAAAGTTTACCTTTAACTTTTGTAATTTCGATATGCCTTCACTAGGATTCAAACCCCTCCTTGAAGTCTGTTATGGGTGACTGACATCAAACATCGACGAAACCTTTCGGCTACTAATGGGTTGCAATTTAGATGTCTATTTTATATTCATAAATAAACATATGATACATATCGGTACAACGAACGAACACACAGGGCTTGTACCTTTATATATACATAAAAGTCAATCATAAAGTGTAAGTTGGTAGCCGCGAGGTTTAGATCAATGTAGAGTCAAGTAAGAAGTAGAGATTTGTCGGTTTAGGTTCGAATCCTTTTTTTCTCTTTGATGTCCTTATTCGTTACTTTTTTCCGTTTTTCTTACTTTGTATGTTATTGTGGATATTTTTGTAATAATAGCGTGTTTTCCCGTTGTTTTTTTTTTAATTAATATTAGCTATTTCACGCTTTTGAAAAGAAAACGATTACATTCAATTTGTCAATTTTTGTTTTATAAATATAGTAAGTTTTCATCTGTTTTACTACATATCTTTACAAATGTTTATTCGCGAATCCCTATACTAGTAAATCGTGATGTGTCTAGAATCAGATTTCTTGTTAGAAATTTCGGTAACATACTTATCATATAAACTTAGAAATAAGTTCGAATATGTCTTATTTGTAAATTGCGGATAATATTCAGATGCATAATAATTTAAAGATAGACATGTTATGTTATATTTGTATTTCTCTAACCAATTAATTGTGAACTTTGATTTATTAATGCAAGGTTGAACATGATAACATGGTTATTTAAACTCACTTACAATACCTCCTAATTAAAAGACATCAGACCAATAGTTTAAGTTAGAGACACCATGGATAAGCGTTAATTCATGAAAAATAAACCAGACTCATGGTTTTCTTTTTCAAGAATCAACGCTTATCCACTGTATCTATAATATATACACATTGTTGATGACAATTACAGATTTTGTCTAAAGTGCTTGGTGTTGAGGTGTTTACTTTTGTATTTGAACAGTTATGGCATATAACTTCAGAATGGTAACGTTCTCTCTTTCGACCAATATGTTTATCAACATGTTTATGCGGACCACTATCTACCGATTTTTTATGGATATTTAGTAGAAAAAAAAACTGTTTTTTGTGTAGATTCTGTTGTTTTCTCAAATTTTTTGAAAAGAAAACGATTACATTCAATTTGTCAATTTTTGTTTTATAAATATAGTAAGTTTTCATCTGTTTTACTACATATCATTACAAATGTTTATTCGCGAATCCCTATACTAGTAAATCGTGATGTGTCTAGAATCAGATTTCTTGTTAGAAATTTCGGTATTATACTTATCATATAAACTTAGAAATAAGTTCGAATATGTCTTAATTGTAAATTACGGATAATATTCAGATGCATAATAATTTAAAGATAGACATGTTATGTTATATTTGTATTCCTCTAACCAATTAATTGTGAACTTTGATTTATTAATGCAAGGTTGAACATGATAACATGGTTATTTAAACTCACTTACAATACCTCCTAATTAAAAGACATCAGACCAATAGTTTAAGTTAGAGACACTATGGATAAGCGTTATTTCATGAAAAATAAACCATTCGTCTTCCAGACTCATGATTTTCTTTTTCAAGAATCAACGCTTATCCACTGTATCTATAATATATACACATTGTTGATGACAATTACAGATTTTGTCTAAAGTGCTTGGTGTTGAGGTGTTTACTTTTGTATTTGAACAGTTATGGCATATAACTTCAGAATGGTAACGTTCTCTCTTTCGACCAATATGTTTATCAACATGTTTATGCGGACCACTATCTACCGATTTTTTATGGATATTTAGTAGAAAAAAAAACTGTTTTTTGTGTAGATTCTGTTGTTTTCTCAAATTTTTTGAAAAGAAAACGATTACATTCAATTTGTCAATTTTTGTTTTATAAATATAGTAAGTTTTCATCTGTTTTACTACATATCTTTACAAATGTTTATTCGCGAATCCCTATACTAGTAAATCGTGATGTGTCTAGAATCAGATTTCTTGTTAGAAATTTCGGTATTATACTTATCATATAAACTTAGAAATAAGTTCGAATATGTCTTAATTGTAAATTACGGATAATATTCAGATGCATAATAATTTAAAGATAGACATGTTATGTTATATTTGTATTCCTCTAACCAATTAATTGTGAACTTTGATTTATTAATGCAAGGTTGAACATGATAACATGGTTATTTAAACTCACTTACAATACCTCCTAATTAAAAGACATCAGACCAATAGTTTAAGTTAGAGACACTATGGATAAGCGTTAATTCATGAAAAATAAACCATTCGTCTTCCAGACTCATGATTTTCTTTTTCAAGAATCAACGCTTATCCACTGTATCTATAATATATACACATTGTTGATGACAATTACAGATTTTGTCTAAAGTGCTTGGTGTTGAGGTGTTTACTTTTGTATTTGAACAGTTATGGCATATAACTTCAGAATGGTAACGTTCTCTCTTTCGACCAATATGTTTATCAACATGTTTATGCGGACCACTATCTACCGATTTTTTATGGTAATTTAGTAGAAAAAAAAACAGTTTTTTG